CTACTCGGGAGGCTGAGGCAGAAGAATGGCGTGAACTTGGGAAGCGGAGCTTGCAGTGATCACGCCACTGCATTGCAGCCTGGGTGACAGAGCAAGACTCCGTCTCGAGAAAAAAAAAAAAAAAAAAGTTATATGCTTGGCCTTAATTAATAATAAATTATATCAGATTATACTAGGCTTTTGCAGGGCAAGTCAGCACCTCCTCCAAATACTTATTGAGTATAACACCATCATGAACCCAGTTAAAGCATTTGTTTAAGGCAGCTTCAGAATATCTGCATGGACTTAGTCTGCATATTATTCAAAAAAATTCTTCCAATTGATTTTCACTTACTAATATAGAAATATTGGTTATTAGAGCCCTCAACAATAGAGTGGTCCAACTAACTCAGTTTACTCAGAGCAGTTAAGAACTAGAGAGCTCTGTCCAGAACTGCAAAGCTAATTAGAGACCCAGCCTGGGCAGGTACTCAGACTTTCTTATATTAGCCCGGTACTCTTTCTATCGTGACAACAGAAAGAAAAGTGGTACCTTAGTCTCAAGCATTTTAAGTCATCACGTGTAACATAGTAGAGAACATCCAATAGTGTATAATCTTCAGCCAAAAACTGTAGAGAAAGTAGAATATGCACAAAAGTAAGATGTTTTATATAACTTTAATAAAGCACAAACTCTATTTATAATGTAAACCTTGACTATAATTAAAAATGAATCTAAAAATGAAATTACTAAAAACACAATCTTCTGTGATTATTAGGGGAAAGGCCTCCCTATTACTCAATAAATACAAATAAATGCATCCGGGCCGGGTGCAGTGTCTCACGCCTGTAACCCCAGCACTTTGGGAGGCTGAGGCAGGCGGATCATCTGAGGTTAGGAGTTCGAGACCAGCCTGGCCAAAGTGGTGAAACCCCATCTCTACTAAAAATACAAAAAATTAGCTGGGCGTGGTGGCATGTGCCTGTAATTCCAGCTACTTGGGAGGCTGAGGCAGGAGAATCACTTGAACCCAGGAGGCAGAGGTTGCAGTGGGCTGAGATTGAACAACTGTACTCCAGCCTGGGCGACAGAGTGAGACTCCATATCAAAAAAAAAAAAAAATACAAATGCATCCATATTAACTTCCAAATGCAAAAAGATTACAAGTGACACAGAACTTCTGAACGGTCTTCTAATGAACAGATGAGACTCACTTGTAATCACATCTGCTGTTCAAAAACAAATCTTGTATTTAGAAGTTCAATGCTATGTAGCTTTGTTTTTTCTCAAGTGGATAAAAAGTGTTCCTGGAAAGGTATTGCCTATGCTTAATTTCTGAACTTATTTTTTCATGGTTAAGCAAAGGCACTTGACTGTAATTCACCATAAAAGCAGAATCTTAATTTGAACTGCACCTTTACATTTTTAAATTTTATTTTTTTATATATATAGAGAGAGACAAAGTCTCACTATATTGACCAGCCTCATCTCCAACACCTGGCATCAAGCAATCTGCCTATGCTCCCCAAAGTGTTGGGATAGTAGGCG